CTCATTCTGCATCTTTTATTCTCCTAATTCACACCAAAAGTCATCACGCTTAACATTTTACCCTTTCATGTAACCTCAGTGGGAAAGAGTTGGGTTACTCTATCATGTTAAACAGAAGTGTGGCCGGGCGCGGTGGCTCAAGCCTGTAATCCCAGCACTTTGGGAGGCCGAGGCGGGTGGATCACGAGGTCAAGAGATCGAGACCACCCTGGTCAACATGGTGAAACCCCGTCTCTACTAAAAATACAAAACATTAGCTGGGCATGGTGGCGCGTGCCTGTAATCCCAGCTACTCAGGAGGCTGAGGCAGGAGAATTGCCTGAACCCAGGAGGCGGAGGTTGCGGTGAGCCGAGATCGCGCCATTGCACTCCAGCCTGGGTAACATGAGTGAAACTCCGTCTCAAAAAAACAAAACAAAACAAAAAACAGAAGTGTGGTATGGTTTTCCTACTGTGGCCACCCAAGTAGACTGTTTACTGACCTACAGATTTATTGGTCTTTAAAAAAAAATTTTTTTTTGAAGTGTCATTAATATGATCTGCATGTGTTTAAGGTATACACTTTGATAAGCTTTGATACACACCCATGAAACCATTATCACAATCAGGGTAGTGAACATTTTATTGCCAAAAGTTTTCTTGAACCCCTCTTTGAACCTTTCCCAGTGGTTACTTGGGAATGGGGATGGATGGGAAGAGGCAGGAAATAATCCCTCCCTTCTAGCTCTTCCCATCCATCCCCATTCCCAAGTAACCTCTGGTTTGCTTTCTGTCAGTAGATTAGTTTGCATTTTCCTGAGTTTTTAATAAATGGAATCATAGTCTCTTATGGCATTTGGGCTTTGAACTATTAACTGCAGACCTGTATTCTAATGTGATACATGTTGTTGATACTGACACTTCTCTGCCTTTTCTTTGCGTGTCACTGTAACTTTTTCATTCCTGGGCATAAGTCCTCAAGCTATGGTAGGAATCAGTCGGTGAAACAAATCTTCCAGCATAATATCAGTGGTACACAGGGCTTTAATCTCTAAAGAAGCAATATTAGAAGGAGAGAAAAACTTGAGTGTTAAGAGTGATAGTAGATTCCAAGGATCAGCACCTTACCCCAGCCATCCCTCTCATGTTCTGGCTAAATAATAAAACCATTAAGTTTTATCCAACCCTAGGTCCTTGAAATAACCAGTTGATTTTGCTCTGTTTAAGGAATTTGGCTTTCTTCACAGGCAGTTTTGTGGGGAGCTGAAAAAAGAAACGTGGAAGACTACAACCCTCCCCAGCCACTGAAAAACAGCATGTGGAATGCATATCTAAAGCTAGAGCTTTGTAAACAGCCCTGTGTCATTAATGGTGTCAGAACCTCACTGCTTACTTAAGCTTTATGGATTATTTGAAAGGGCTGCTCTGAAGCTTTTGACATAGCAAGGATGCCCATCTGGATTTTAATTTTTAAAATAACTGTTCAGGCCGGGCGCGGTGTCTCACGCCTGTAATCCCAGCACTTTGGGAGGCCGAGGCGGGTGGATCACGAGGTCAAGAGATTGAGACCATCCTGGTCAACATGGTGAAACCCCGTCTCTACTAAAAAATACAAAAAATCAGCTGGGCATGGTGGCGCATGCCTGTAATCCCAGCTACTCAGGAGGCTGAGGCAGGAGAATTGCCTGAACCCAGGAGGCGGAGGTTGCGGGGAGCCGAGATCGCGCCATTGCACTCCAGCCTGGGCAATAAGAGCGAAACTCCGTCTCAAAAAAAAAAAAAATAATAACTGTTCAGGATCAGATCCCCTAATGGAAATGCTGTTTCTGCATAGCATTGTCTAGTAGAAATAGAATGAGTATCTCCCATCCATGTGGGCAGGTGAGCTAACTGCCTAACTCATCTCTCCACAGAATTGTCTGTCTGGTGATAGGATTAGCCATGAAATGTTTATGGTGATGTGGAGCACAGGTCATCTGCTGGGGCTATTTCCAGCAAGACTCTACGAAAACACAGTAACTTGCAATCCTTATGTATCTGTTTGAAGACAGTTGTTACAGAGAATAATAACTGAGAATGCATGCCTAACACATAAAGGAACTTGTGCTTTTGAATGGCATCAACATTCATGAATTTATGTAAATGTCTACTTTGTGTGGCCCTGGTTTAAGTGTATCATAAGATGAAAGCCAAAACTAAGAGACAAAAAATTCAAGATTTTGCAACAAGAAGTGCCTGATTTTTTGGGACAAATTGCCAGCAAATGAGAACATTGCCTTCTAAGAATACTCCTTCAGCAAAAATGGGAAAAGCCATTGATATCTTCTACTCTACAAAGACTGAAAAGGGTTGTGTTGTTTTGTTTTTGAGACGGAGTCTTGCGCTCTCACCCAGGCCGGTGTGCAGTGGCACAATCTCGGCTCACTGCAACCTCCACCTCCCGGGATCAAGAAATTCTTCTGCCTCAACCTCCTAAATAGCTGGGATTATAGGCACCCACCACCATGCCTGGCTAATTTTTGTATTTTTAGTAGACATGGGGTTTCACCATGTTGGCCAGTCAGGTCTCCAACTCTTGATCTCGAGATCTGCCTGCCTCGGCCTCCCAAAGTGCTGGGACTACAGGCATGAGCCACCGAAAAATAGCTGGCCAGGGTACTTTTGCTCGAGGAAAAGCTGAATAATAGGAGTCTTAAAAGGGTACATTTAGTTGATTATAAGGTTGAACTTGGGGACGAGGAGCTTGAAAAGGGAGAGAAACTGCTGGGGGCTAAAGGAATGTGTTCATCCCCAGGGCTGTGGGCATCAAGATCCTGTGGGTTCCAGCAAGCCCCAGCACAGGCCCCCAGAACAGCCAAAAGCTACTACCAAGGGGAACCCTAGCCTGGCTAGGGAGCAGTGAATTATACCACACACTAGCCTGCCTTTACCTCTGGTGTTTGTTACGTCTGTCACTTCTGGATAATGTTTATCCACAACTGGCTACTACAGCACAGAAATCTTAAGTGACAGCCAGGTTTTTTATTGTTGTTTTCATGTTTTATTTTTAAGAAAACAATAGAAATGCAGGGAAGATGGTTGGCAGTGACTCAACTGCTAGCAGTACTGGGGAAATCAGCCCACCAGTGGTCCTGTGGGGCACCTGGCCCTTCCAAGCCTTCACAGTTCATCTACACGTGATCTCCCTGCTCCACCATTCATCAAGGGTTGCAAACTCAAATGCCCTTAGGGACACAGAGAGCAGTGAAAGGAAGCAGGCCAGGAAAGGACCCTAATGAACTGGGAGAACATTCCCCACCCAGAGTTCCGGCTGATTATTGCCTTTGAGGACTGTATGACAATGCTTTCATATTTGCCACTTTTTGAGAGAAGCTGGAAACCAGGTATGTTCCATCTCCTAATCTCAAAACATTGACAATTTCAGGAGGGAATAGAACTGCACAGACCTATGAGGAAAAAAGGTGGTGACCTTTGTAAATGATTGAAAACTAAGACTAAAGACAAAAGGAGCTGTACACAGCCACTGTACTCTAGTTGATAAAGTTTAAGAGGATGCAGGTGAACAGTTCTGAAACCACTGTACATGTGTACACCTAGAACACGGAGGATGAAGAGTAGTTTCATGATGGAGGAACGTATCACTACCTCAGTCAGACGATCAAGGTCAAAAACCAGTGATAAATCAGGTTAGTCGCATGCACACTTGATACGATGTAGTGAAAATGATGCTTCCCCTTGGTGGTCTTCCATACAAAAACCATGAAAAACAGGCAGGGCACGGTGGCTCAGGCCTGTAGTCTCAGCTCTTTGGGAGGCCACGATGGGAGGATCACTTGAGACCAGGAGTTTGAGACCAGCCTGGGCAATTTCAAGACCAGGTCTGTAAAAGAAAAGAGCCAGGTGTGTTGTGCACCTGTAGTCCCAGCTATGTGAGGGGATCCTCTGAGCCCAGGAGTTCAAGGTTGCACTATGGCACTCCAGCCTAGGCAACAGAGTGAGACCCTATCTCTAAAAACAAATGAGTACATCAGATAAGCCCAAACTGAGGGACATGCTTAAAGAAATTACCAGTATTCCTCAAAACCATCAAGATCAACAACAAGAAAAGTCTAAGAAACTGTCATAGACCAGAGGAGTCTAAGGAAACGTGACAAGTGAATGTAATGTGATATCTTGGATAGGATTCTGGAACCGAACAAGGATATCAGAGAAAAACTAATGAAATCCAAGGAAGAAAGTTGAGTTGATTTTAATTGTCCACATGGTTTCATAGTTGTCACAAGTGTGTCATAGTAATGTAAGATGTTAACAACTGGAGAAACTGGGGGTACATAGGAACTCTATTAGGAACTTTTCCTTAAATCTAAAACCATTCTAAAATTATTTTTAAAAATCCGTACAGGCCACTTAACCATGTGAAAAGCTTTTCAGCCTTGGTCATAATGAGAAGTGGCACTGAGATACTATCTCACCTGTCAGGCTGGCAAAAATCTGAGCAGTGACAATATAGTCTGTGGATGAGGCTGAGGGGCAAGGTATCCTTGCACATTTATAGGGGTTTCATCCATTTGGTGTTCCTGTAAAGGAAAACCTGAGGCTGGGCAATTTCTACAGAAAAAGGTATATTTGGCTCACAGTTCTGATGGCTGGGCATCAAGTTGGGCGTCTGCATCTGGTAAGGGCCTGGGGTGGCTTCCACTCATGGCTGAAGGCAGAAAGGGGGCTGGATTCTGCAAGGTGACACAGGGGTGGGGGGATAGGTGCCAGGCTCTTTAACAGCCAGCTCTGGGAGGACTAACGGTGAGACCTCACTCCCCCAA